TAGTCATTTGATAACTGCCGACGATCACAATGCAGACACACGATTTAAATGTTGGCGGGATATGGAAGTCTGTTCATCAATGGCCAGCTACAAACTCATATTGTAAATAATACACCGTTTGATATTAAACTTAAGGTGTCGGTTCCCTTAGATAATTAAAACGTAAACATCGTTTGAGCAACATTCCCATGTATGTAAGTGAAGTCTAAAAGTACAGAATTGTTTCTGTTGGTAACAAATGGCACTCAAAGGTGGAATTATTGGTTTTATTATATTTTGGTTCGAAATTGCTTTTCTTGAGGTACGTAAGAGCGTCCAATAGTTTTTAGTATACAAATAATTTTTCAATTTTCGCACCCGAGCAAGCTGGCCCTCCAAAACCCCTTCTGTTCCTCATAACAAATCCAGGAAAGTTAAATAATATTACTTGACTTTGGGTTTGTACTTGAACGATCCTGTATTTTTGCATGGGAAACTTTTCTTGACATCAAGAGTAAAACCCTTTTCTAATATTTTTGGGACCATCAAGGAAAGCGAGAAGCTAACTGTCAAGGAACTTCCAATGTTTTAAGGAAGTGTGAATTGTTCGAAGAACATATCTCTATAATACTGAATAAACGTTTATTGGAAATTTGTTCCCAAACACAATTGCATAATTTTTTGTTTAATATTATGTAAGCACGAAGTTACATTTATACATTTTGTAAACAAATAAACACGTTTCATTAACAAATTTCCTTCTTAATGAAAAGGATAAGGAAATGGAAAGGGTGGGGATTATCATGCGAGTGTTCTCACTCAGGTACGCTAATTTGATATTAATTGCGACTAATTTTAAATATTCTAAAATCGTTTTATGACTAGATATGATAAAAATGTGCTTATTAGGTAATGGCAGTAATGGGTTCTCATTATCGCAGTGGGACAGCCATTGGCTCAAACAAAATAATTAATTTACATGAATGAGTTTAATTGTCCTCCTTGTACTATTTATACAAGTAGTAAGAATGAATGGACGTATGAAGAATTCATCCAATAGCTCAAAGATATTAGAGAAGTTCCAAAAATTGGACGATTTACGCATTGATACGCTGTTTTGCTCTCTCTATCTGCGTTAATGAATAATGTGAGAAGCGCAGATTTCCCTAGGGATGGGCGAATATGTTGTGACTATTCAGATGCGTGTTTCACATAAATCTGTACAAATGAATTGAAGAAAATTATATTTTTCTAAACTTCCAGTGGGCACTCTTGCGTAAATTTTACGACAATAGATTTTTTTTATTTGCTGTAAACTCATTATTAGCAAAGACTTCGTTCTTGATATTTCTTCCAGATATCTTAGTGATGCATTCCTGTAGCCACTGTTTGTTTTACTTGCGATATTCAGTTTCTTTTATGCTGTGTTTCAGATAAGTGGATAGTATCTTAAACTTGTATAGTGTCGTGCCTATCCTTCCCAATTCTGGCCGCTGGATAGTGACACAGGAGCGCGTGGTTGAATGCGCGTACGCGTATAAGCTACCTGGCGGTTCTCTTGACAACTATGACGAGGCGTGACGTGACATACTAGTAATGTAGGATTACTCCAAGTGCAAAGCGCTCAATGCCCCGTATAAGGTTTGCAGACGCGTTGTGTCTATGTAGACGTAAGAAAACTTTTTTTTAAAAAGTACGCTGGGCGCCTGCTGTTGTTCTAAAATTGTGTTATAATTTGACCTAATCCAAATTTTGTGTTAAATGTCCAGAGAAAGAAATCATGTCTATAACATTCAGTATATTCTGGAAGACATGTGTGATCGTGAGGGCGTTCATGAATTGGATAGTGACAGTGACCTTGAATGTTGAAAACATAGACAAACATCAGCACGGTATTGGATCGGAAAAGAAGTTTTTAATACTTAATACGAATGTTTATCAACGGATGTATTTTTGTTGGTAAATACTAATGCTCAGAATAGTGTGACAGAGTTTAGAGCAGTTTTGAAAACACAATCTCATAACATAGCGAAATTACTACCCGGTTTGAGACGACATTTTGTATTATAGTAAGGAATAAAATATCTTCATTTTTTCTAATGCATTCTTGGCTTCCTTGAACGATAATATTTTTATTTCGTTTTGCGTTTTATTTATTATTAATTTCAAAATTTCACGCTCGTCCGCAATTTCCAAATGTAATTCAAGTATAGAACGTCAACACATATGGTGAGAAGTTCTTGCTCCAATGCACTCAGGTTCCTCTTCAATGACTAGGAGAGAGAACCTTACGCACAATATCGGTGGTTGCCATCAGCATCACCTTCTGCTTGGCTCTGAAGGGCCATTCATTTAGATGGAGTTTCTCTTTCACAATCCTCCAATCTTCAGCAACATGCCCCTTAGTTAAATTTACTACGGATACAATATCTACCTATTTTAGTTTGTATAGGTTTTCAGTTCAATTGAGAGTGGCTGGTATTTTATTTTCTGCAATTCTTGACAGCAAATTATGATATAATGGGACTGCGATTTTTATTGTTATTGTTCTACGAGTAGTTTTGCGAACATGATAACATCAAGCTTATTTGCTTCCATTGTTTTGTTAGTAACATTGACAGTATCCCTCAAGAATTTTGTCCTCTCATTAGTCAGAACTTATTCCAGGAGATATTTGTAATAAGGCAAGCTTTACTTTATCAGGTCAGATCTGTTGGCAAGAGCTTGGTGGATGATTTTAACCATACTATTATGACGGTAATAATCTGTTTGTGCCATCTGAGAACATACACTTCAAATGTGTTGAAAAGATGCGGTGTCCTTCTTACGCAGGCATCACTTGTCACTGATGCTCTCTTTCATGATATATCGCCCGTAATTATGTTAGTGGTTACTGCCTGATCTTGAATGACCAGCACAAATCCTTTGTCTCGCCAAAAAGCCTAGTGGTTCTCAACCATTCAGTTGATCTCTTCATATCAATTCAGTTATTTTGAAGCGCTGTAACAAATCTGCCATGGAGTTCCTTTTATCTCCACTGCTCAATTCGATCCTCAGGTTTTGGAAAACTTGGAGCAATGTCAGAGGTGTATAGCCGTGATTTTGTACAGATGGCCATCATGGAATGTTGCTGGCGGCACATAACTTCAAGACTTATCAGTCCATGTCCTCCATAGTGTCTTGAAAGATATAGCCTTTCGATGGAACTTCGAGGATGATACATCCGATATTTTTATAGAATTTTCTAATTATTCTATAGAAATCTTGCAAAGATAACTCAGACCACTTGACAACCCCAAATATATATGATGCTTCCGAGAGAGCCCAGGTGGTAATTCCTGTAAATTTATTTCTCGAATTAATACAGGACATACAGATTTCCGTAACACAAAGAGAACCTTTCTTTCCAGTTGTTTTCTAATTTTCTCATCTGCAGGTCCTAGGAGCTTCTGGAGACCCAGATACATCATCATTAAATAGTTCTTCAATTCTTAAATCTTCCATCAAATGAGGTTCATTCCCTGTATTCTCTTCTTTCTTCCCCAAACCTAGATCCATTCAAACAGAGTTGCTGAAGCTTTCAACAAGTGTCAGCATGCTGCAAAGTTGTTGTTGTTGTTGTTGTTGTTATTATTATTATTATTATTATTATTATTATTATTATTATTATTATTATTTATTTACGTTTCATCAATTTCTGACCACGCTACACGTTGTCCTTCGAGCCCCAGTCGTATTCTATCCCGGAGAGCGATTATCGTGTGTAATTATGGGGATCAGCTTTTCGACTGTATCCCTTAGGTAAGCAAGTTTTTTAAGTCTTGAATTATGAATTATAAGGTCATAGGATGATATGATATCTTGGACTCTTTGAACCTTCCCAGGATTTGCCTCTATGACCGAAAACCACGAAAACCGCGGTCAGGATGGCCGGCCAGGGGATCGAACCTGCGAAGTTTATGTTTGTCATTATTAAAACGTACGAGAATATCTTATTTCTGTGTAATGTTCTATTCTTTGTAATGTAGAATAAACGTCTTAAACAATTAATAAAAGAACTCGTACAACCTGCACCAGGAATTGATTTGAAATAAATAAATAAATAAATAAATAAATAAATAAATAAATGAATGAATGAATGAATGAATGAATGAATGAATGAATGAATGAATGAATGAATGAATGAATGAATGAATTAATGAATTAATGAATTAATGAATTAATGAATTAATGAATTAATTAATTAATGAATTAATGAATTAATTAATTAATTAATTAATTAATTAATTAATTAATTAATTAATTAATGAATTAATTAATTAATTAATGAATGAATTAATTAATGAATGAATTAATTAATTAATGAATTAATTAATGAATGAATTAATTAATTAATGAATGAATGAATTAATTAATGAATGAATGAATTAATGAATGAATGAATGAATGAATTAATTAATTAATGAATTCATTAATGAATTCATTAATGAATTCATTAATTAATGAAATAATTAATTAATTAATTAATAAAAATTGCGTGGTTTCTCCGTTTAATAGCAGGAGAATTTCAAAGCAATATTGTATGAAACAGATCTCGCGAGATTTTTCTTTCCTCTTCCTTGTCCTATCCTCTCACGTGACTGTCACACACTGCGCCACCACACCTGACAAGTTAGTGAGGAGCTCAATAAAACTTGTTCTGGCTGACGCGGGGCCCGTAGGAGGAAAAATATCCCTCAGGCCTACATACGCCAAACAACGCCAAACACGCCAAACGGGAGAGGGACAACTCGATCTCCAAGCAAAAGTTATTCACTACACTAACGGAACAAATATCCAGAGAAGTCGATGTGCCCGGAAACATCAATCAATTAATTTTAGCTTTGCCATCTTTCACAGGTTCGCTTGTGTTCGAGTGCAGGTATGTTACGATGAAGTTCTTTCCCTTCGAAGAGCATAGCACTAAGCTTCCGCGTTGTCACTTGCCAAGTGTTTGCTGAGCGTTTGTGTTTTGTGCGCAGATGGGCCGGAGCAGGCGGCAGCGAGGCCGAGGGGGACGTGCTGGCCGTGGACGTGGCCGAGTTCTACCGCGGGCAGAGCGTGCTGCTGACGGGCGGCTCGGGCTTCGTGGGGCGCTGCTGCTGGGAGACAGCTCCTGTTCTACTGCCCCGACATCACACGTCTACGTGCTGCTGCGCCCCGCAAGGGGTCGCGGTGCAGGAGCGCGCTGCACAAGCTGCTCGACGTCCGGTCAGCACCACACACTAATTACAATCTTCTACTACTTTCTGGTATTAATAGCAATTCTAATTGGCTGATCGAAATGATCAGTTTGGCCAATGAACATATGGTTGGGATATAAAAATATCGAGTTGCAGAAACGAAAAATGCCTTTAATTATCATGCAATCTTTATGCTCAGATGTCACAGGTCACGTTTCAAGGAAGTCATGTCATCAATTTCATTTTCAAATCAATTTCGTGCCCCTACAGAGCATTGTACCTACGGGGTTGCCTAAGAAGTAGGGTAAATACCACATTCACTCCTTTGAATGAAGCTTCCCAGTTAATGTTTATTGGCAAATATTTTAGCCTCTCTTAATGCCTACACGTTTGTAGAGTTTATTCGGAGACATCTGTACAGTACTGGATAGACAATTGTGTGAGAAAAGTGTATCATTGCAATGACACCGTCATTGCGCACAGCTTTACAAGGCGTGCTTTTAATATTAGCTGAACTCATAATGCTTCTAGTAATTATTTACTGTCTAGAAAATTATCTACTAATTATCTTCTAGCAACAATCTAGCAATAGGTTGTGTGTTAATTCATCTAATGACAATGTGCTGTAGTATTACGCCAATATAACATGTATCGAAGGAGATATTTTAATATATTCATTTAAAATGTTTCTATAGATTACAATTAACATAGGCAAAAATATTTAGTATTTGTTTGTATAAATATTGAATTATAATTCAAATCGTTACCATATTAGATTATTTTTAGTATTATTACCTTTATTTAACAGAAAAATGTAAAATGAGATAACTGTATGTATCTATAACATACATTGTACATTTACTTTAGACATACTTTGTACTTATATACGTGCTCATTTTACGCATACATTAATTTGCATATAACCCCAATTATTCAGTTATAATCTTTTTCAAACAACTTATGAAAATATGACACCAGAATAAAAGTTAATCAAACCTACTCTCCCACGTTATGTACTCATTATTTTTCGACAGTACTTAAGGTTATACAGTTTTAAAGAAAAGCTGGAAAAAAAGTCAGAAAAAATTCGGGTTTTCGGGACTCCAGCAGTTAGCACAGTGTCTGAGGGATCGAAAACTTTGAATTCTAACTAGTGCCTGCGTACATACAAGAAAGAAAAAGAATGTGTGAGCTTTATCCGACCAGAGTAAATGCTCTGCCAGCAGCAGCGCCGGGTGGTTCCGACTGGCTGACGCGCGCTGTGTGGGTGTTGCGCAGCTGTTTGACCGGGTGCGCGCGCAGCGACCTGAGGCGTTGGGACGCCTGCAGGCGGTGGAGGGCGACACGGCGCAGCCTGGCCTGGCGCTGGCGGAGGCGGACGCGCGCGTGCTGGCGGAGCGCGTGTCCGTGGTGTTCCACTTGGCGGCCAGCGTGCGCTTCGACGACCCGCTCATCACGGCCGTGCGCACCAACGCGTGCGCCACGCGCGACCTGCTGGAGCTCGCCACGCGGATGACCAAGCTCAAGGTACGCCCACCCACCGCTCATTCCGCTCGCGAAGAGTCGACGCTCTTAGGAAAGTATTGCAATGATGCAGCACAAAGTGGAGATTTTTCGTCAGAAAACTCACATAGGGGGCTCTGATATCAAAACAGTGTATAAAGCTTGTTTCTATAACATGTTATATAGTCAGAATCGATGTTTTCTGAACCCTCGCGAACTTATTTAATTATCTATATATGTCCTCTCTGGCCGGCCTGTGCTCAACACTTAGCACCTAAACCAATTATTTCCAACAAGTTTACATTCCCCGATCAATCTTCCCAAACGGTCCTGAGAATTGGAAACGATTACTATTTTGGAAAGTGATATATTGAGCCTTACCAACACATTCAATTTTTTCTCAAACAATGCTCTACTTTTTTTTCTTTTTGCATAGTGGAGCCATTTCACATCAAATCGCACAAAAAAGACCGAAATTCGGCTGTCATATTTTTTTATTTTCTAATTTTTACTTTCTCGTATGCATACGTATATACGGAGTAATATACGTAGTATAGAGAAAGTTACGTAATGTTGCGGAAACTTAATTTCGAGATTTCAACAGAAAAACACGTTTTGGGGTCCCCTGATACCTTGAAAGTGTTTTTGTTTTCTTGAAAACCGTTTGTACTTCTATTCGGTGTATGTGAACAATACTAGCGCCGAAGGACTTCTTCCTAATGGAAGAAACTCCTGTCCATTGCTCCTGAGTCAAAGCTCTACGATTTTGAAAACAATTCAATAGTTTTTGGTGGTACATTACATGAAGCCCCTGTGACATTTTTACAATTTTCTCAAAAATGACTCCAATATGTTTCTTTAAATTTCTTCTAAGAATATAGTACATTACGCTTCTAAACGTGGCAGAGAGCCGATTTTCACGGTCAAGTTTGAATTTCCGAAAATTGCAAAAGTTTGAACTTCTCGGGATTTTCCTACAGCTACAAAGTTAAAGATAGATATATTTTTTGGATTGAATTTTTTGTCCATAATTTCTTGTTATTAAGGTCATGTACATTTTCTTGAAAATTTTAGTAGTTTTCCCGCAATATTGCATTCAATTTATGCAATATTAAAAAGTAAAAAAAAAATGTTTTGTCAAAAACTGCTTCAAGTTTTTTTTTTAAAATTATGGTAGGAATTATGCTAAAAACACTCTATATGACGACATAAACGCCATATTGCTCTATTTTTTGTTTTTTCAAAACTTACAAAAATGTAATTGTATTCACTTGTTACTAACGTCGATAATATTAATAGTAGTGGCAATTTGTTCACATTATTATATTTACCAGTAAATGCTCTGTAAATAATGTAAAAGTTTCTCGAAAATTCATCCGTTTTCTGTCTAAACTAGGTCAAAATTCCGCACTTTCGGAAACGCTCAAGCGCCATTTTCTCAAAAACAGCTCCACATTTTTTCTTCAAACTTTTACATTAGATAGTGCTAATTGCACCAGTTAAAATAGCGTAAAGTTCATTTTTGGGTACTTTTTTTCAAAAATTAAACAAATATATTTTTTAGATCTTTCACGTCATTAATATGCACATTTCCAGCAATTTGTAAAAAATATTGTAGCTTTGAGTGGATTGATTCAAATGACTTCTAATGAAGATGAACTCAAGAATTTTCTGTAAAAAACAGCTTTAAACTTAGAATTTATAGTATCGTTTAAATGAAATTTTCCTGAAAACGGCTCCAAATTTTTCAAAGAAAATTGCCACTAAGGACGAGGTTTTACTGTTCATAAACATTCTTAAAATAATATTGCCGTTTTACTATTAGGAAACCAAAAAAATTAAAATATTTCAAAAAATTATAGGGCGACGATAGATGGCAGCTGGCAAGAGTATGTGGCAAGTTCGTGTAGCTAGCCGAGATCAAAGTAAAACTAATTTGGGAAAGTCTGTGTCATTCTGTCGCACAGCAAGTTGCACTTTGCCGATATCCACGCTCGACCCGCTGAAGTTCAAATGCGGGGAAATTTAAAGGGGGGGATGAGGCAAATTCTGGGAGTAGGGACTACCAATTAGAATGCACTATAGGGGCGTAAATTGAAAGAGCAATCGACGAGAACATGACGGTTACATATATTTCAAGTATTATTGCCTTTTGTATTATGTTGGAAATGTTTGTTGTCAATATATGGCAATATGAAATATGAAACTATAACCAATTGTACTATATTTAATTGGCTGTCCGGGTGACGCCATGTATACACAGTGTGTCCCATTTAACTTCACAACTTGAAATAACTCAAAAAATACGAGATGTACGAAAAATTGAGCCGAAACCAAATCTTAAGAGTTTTGAAGAGGGAATCATTCTATGCTAAAATCAGCACCCCCCCTGCCCCCAGCGGGTGGGGCGGTGGGTAACATTGTAATCTTAAATAGGAACCACCATTTTTTATTTCAGATTCGGATTCTACGGACAAAAATACATAAGTTTTGTCTGACTGAAATTTTTTTCTGATTTGTGATAAGTGGAGCTGTAATCGCAAAAATTTAATTTCCGAAGATTTCGACTGTAATTGGAGTGGTTTTGAGTGTGGCCTCAGGGCACACCCGTCAATTTGTTGGGAGCGTCTCTCCATGGTCTGTGCCTACAGTATTTCAGAGGCGATCCGATATTTATTAAACATTTACCTTTCTGATGGTCAGCTAGTGGACCGCCTCCTCGTGGTGACTCCTGGGTAATGCTAAAAGTCCACAAAACTATTGCTCCTTCCACTTACTTATGCTACATTTCTATAATATTTCCCTATTTTGGTCTCTCTTGATCCCTTGTTATAGTCTTTCGACCCGAGCTATTAGGTTTCGAGGGCTAGGGTGTCATTCATTTCTTAATCTACTCTGTTCTTGACTTTTAATTCCTTTTCTTCTCCTCTTCTCTACAATTTATCTGTTTCTTTTCCTTCATTCTCCAGGGGTAGTATCCCTACCCAGCACAGGGTATGTGTAAAGACTGCAACGGTCCAAGAGGCAATGTGGATCCAGGCGAATATCACAGTGGCTTGAGATGCGGAAGTAGCAGCCCTCTCTGCAGGGGTTTATACGCAGAGAAGCTGGGATAGAAGCTTTGAGATGGCAGCCCTATTACTATCCTTACCCTGCGCAGCGCTTGCAACGCGGCCAGATTTCTCAAAGATTCATGCCAAACAGATTCCTCTATGTCAACATATGCAAAGAAAAAGGAAACGAATAAACGACAACTATCGGAAATATTAACGCTGGGAATATGAAATGTTAGAGCTCTCTCAAATAACGAAGCTGAATTAGAACAGGAATTAGATAAAGCTGGGATTGATATTTCTGCAATTACTGAAACCAAAAAAAGTTTCAGGGCTCATCATAATTACAAATATATTATAAAATGATGTATAGTGGAGTTCCCCAAAAACAGAGGGCGTCGGCTGGGGTATCTATTTGGATCAGAAGAACATTGAAAAACAGAATAATATCGTATACTTTCATAAACGAAAGAATAATAACACATGAGGAATTAAAGTAGATAGAGGTTACGTTTCAGTCTTTGCCTTTACGCACCAGAAGAGGAGAATCTAAGATGCGATAAAGATTCTACGAACAACTGAGAAGAAAAAGATATAAAAGTGGACTATCTTATTTTTCCTAGGTGATTAAATGGGAAAAAGGATGCCCCTATAAAAGATAATAGTAGGCACAGAAGTGAATACACACTTAACCAATAATGGAGCGAAAATTAATAGAATGGCCACGGGACAATGAGGCGAGAATTACTAACACTTTCTTTAAACACCGAAATATTCACAAATTCACTGGTCGACAGCACGTTGGATCCGCCTATGTAATGATTACGTCCTTGCAAACAATAAGACTTGATCAAATATCAAAGGATGTAAGAGAATTTAGGAAGTTTTGATGCGTCATCTGACCATTCTTTAGTAAGATGCCACGTAATGTTCTCCAAGAGATGGAAGAAAACCATCTTAAAACCCCAAACCAGAAATAGAAACATTTAGAAGTTCACCTTTTTACAAATAATAGCATAACTTCTTTATACCAGAGTAACTCAACCAGAAAAATTTTATTAACCCTGTACGTAACAATATAAAATGAAGAATGGCAAAACATTTAAAGTAAGACAGTGATGCCTGCCTCTCGCCAACGCTTTTTAATATATATTATGGAACGTGAGTCATTAAAAAAAAATCGTTAAGACCTTTAAATGATTGTTTTAAGAATGAAATAATCTCGAGGTCCCAACATTTACTTTTTTGCCGCACAACCAGCTTATCATAGGAAAATCTGAATATGAAATTCAAACAACACGTCCACAAGGTAAAGTTCAGGTTTCGCTAATGAGTATGGTATGAAAATCTCACCAAGTAAAACAAAAAGTGATACTTGAACCTTAAGAGCAAAGATAGTTATATGGGACCAAAAAATAATAGAACAAGTTAATGAATTTTTAATTATCTTAGATATCATTTTAATTGTTATAAAATCAAGGGATATGGAAATAAAGCTGAACAACTTCACATATTTCTGTGGAACGTTACAGCGAACTCCACATCATAATGCGCAAAAGAAACTCTCTCAGATTTTACAAAGTTATTGCTTTGCCATACTACTTTATGGAAGTGAGAGCTGGACATCAGATTAGCTGCGCCGAATTGAATCTGCAGAAATGAGATTTCTTCGTTTTGTGGCAGGATATTCACTATTAGACCACAAAAAAAGTGTAGATAATCAGAGAGAAGTAAATGTTGAGCCGGTTATAGAGATACCATAAAGAAATATCGAGAAAACTGGAAAGGTCATGTCCTGAGAATGCCAGAACATATAATAAGTAAAACTATTCTTCAATATGTACCTAAAGGAAAAGAGTGTAGGACGTCCCTTGTGAGAGATGGCTGAACAATTCTGAGACGGAACAGATCAAGAGGTC